ACTTAGTGTCCTTGAAAATAAAATAACTGAACCACTTTACAAGAATAGAATAATATATAATATTGCCCAACTCAGATTGAATAATGCTACGCTTCCATTATTGATGGAAACACAATGTATACAAGTTTACCCTTGGCCTTTCATGCCAAAATTTACTCTCACAGTCACCGGGTTTTCTAAAGCTACATCAGCTGAACTTTAAGCACTGCCTTCCTTAGAAACTTTGTGGATTCTCTTCCCATTTCCTATTGTCCAGAATGATGTCAAAATTGTCTAGCTCACTAAGCCTGAAGCCCAATTCACACTTTCCTTTCTTATTTCACAAATCAATAAAGCTCTATAAATTCAATATCAACCAATTCTTTAATATATTTTTCTTCTGTAACCAGGGCTAGAAAACAAAAATATAAATTGCACTTTTCTAAATTATCATATCTTAATCAGCCACAAGTACTTAAAAGTACTTTTATAAAGAAATAAGAAAGCACCTGGGCATAGTGGCTCACACCCTTATCCCAGCACTCAGGAGGCAGAGGCAAAGTGAGTTATAGTCCAGTCTGTTCTATGTAGTGAGTTCCAAACCAGCCAGAGCTACATAGTGAAACTTTGTCTCAGAAAACACAAACAAAACCCCCCAAAAAAAGAAGAAAAGAAACAAGAACACAAATTAATATCACTAAATGTTCCTATCTTTTGTAACACTATAATGATTACTTACAGATTTAAAAAAATAACAGTTAATTTCTTTATATCCTAATTTTCCAAGCCAACATGTTTGGCAATGTGCTTTATATATCCTATCATTAATATATTTGTGCAATATTTTGCATAAATTGATATTACCCTCACCTGTAGCTATCCTATTTATTCAATTCCTTCTATGACTTCTGAAAATAAATCTGATTAAGAAACTATCTTACCCTGACATAAACTAATACATGATGGTTGGTTTACCACGGCAAATGTGTGAGTTGGGGAGGTATAAAGGTTTAGTGTATCTCATGACGAACTGCATGGTGCTGGTGTTGTAGGATTACAAAAATTGTTAAATAAATAGAAGGCTAGATAAGGCTTTTATTTTACAGATATCTCTTTAGGAACTTTTCTAAAATTTATAATTGGGGCACTTGAGGAATTCAATTTAACAGCAAGAAAAATGATGTGATATGTAGATATTTTCCCCAAAGAATGACACTGCAGGCACATTAGAACCATGCAAGTGCCAGGCTTGGGAAAGTAAGGCTTAAAGACCTGGTGACTTTAAATAGCAGAGGACAGCAATGGCAATTACTTCCTCTTTTGGGTGATTTTTTTCCCAATCACAGGGGTATAATCAGTTTTCTCAGAATTGCATCAGATTTCCTATGCCCTTCAAATACATGATAGTTGAGGCATTTCTTTGACTCGATGTGCTACGAAATGCATTTTGAGGAAGGAATATCTCAGCCCTTCAGAAAAGAAATGGAAGAACTTAAAATTTGGTTTCTTTGTTGTAGATAAAATTCTACATAGGTTTTCAATTAATCAGACATCTTACGTTTTCCTAATGAATCACATACATAGCCAAGTCATTGACTGTGTAGTGTATTCTTTTTTTAAAAAATTTCATGCCCACTGAGCCATCTTACTAGCCTAAATTTAATACATCATTATATAATATAATCCCTATAAGTAGGTACCCAAATGAAGAGATTAATTTGTAACTCTACAGAGCAAAAATAAATTTTAAATTGTTTGCTTGCAACATTATATTTATAAGAATAAAAAATGAATATAAAGAATTTGTTATACCTAAAAATAAATCTAAATATGGAAAATTAAGAAAAATGAAAGATCATGTCAAATTCCCCATGTCCTACATTTAGAACCCTGAGAAGGTTACACATGTATTTCTGCACTAATAAACCAAATCAGATTTACTCATGTGATGCTCAGGAAAAATAAATGTAAGTCATAAGGTGCAATAAGTGTAATTTTAAAAGAGTAAAATTTTTTAAAATTTAAAAGTGTGTGTGTGTGTGTGTGTGTTGTGTTCTCCATATGAAGCCAAAAATTGAAAAACTATTAGGAATTTGGATGGGGAGTGCATTGAATCTCTAGACTGCTTGTGATAAGATGGTAATTTTTACTATATTAATCTTACCAGTCCAAGAGAGCAGGAGATCAATCTTTCCATATTTTCCATTTTCTGATATCTTCTTCAGTTTCTTTCTTCGGTGTCTTAATTTTCTATCGTACAAGTCTTATACTTGAAAGGGTAGAATTAGCACAAAATGCTCTATTATTTGTTTCCCGGATTTCATTCCCAGTCCATTTTCATTTGCAAAAGTGAAAGTTACTGGTTAGATTCTATTGGAGTTTCATCCTTCATTCTTGGCAAAAGTGTTTTTCAGCTGTAGTGGTTTCCATGTGAAAATTTTTGGGTCACTTATACATACTGTCACATTTTCTTCAGGATACTTTGACTTCTTCCCTTAAATTTTTATCCCTTTTATTTCCTTCAGTTGTCCTGTCGTTCTAGTTAAGTCCTCAAGTATTATATTAAATAGATGTGTAGAAAGTGGACAACTTTGTCTTGTTCCTGCTTATAGTATAGTTGTTTCAAATTTTTCTCGATTTAAGTTAATGTTGACTGTGGGCTTGCGGTGAACTGCCTTTATTACGTTGAGGTGTGTTCATTATATCCCTCATAGCTACAGATTTTTATCATGAAGGAGTGGTAGGTTTTGTCAAAGGCCTTTTCTACATCTAATGAGATTATCAGGTGGGTTTTAACTTTCAGCTTGCTTATAAGGTCAACTTCATTTATCCTTTATATAAGTTGAACCATTTATGCATATCTGGGATGAAACCGACTTTATCATGGTGGATATCTCTTTATGTATTTCTAGATTAAGTTTGCAAGTATTTTATTGAGAATTTTTATCAACGATGTTGATAAAAGAAATTGGACCATAATTCTCTCTTTTTTTAATCTTTGTGTGACATAGGTAGCAGAGTAACTGTGGACTCTTGAATGAATTGGGTAGTGTTTCTTCTGGTTCAATTTTATGGAATAACTGAGAGCCTACCATATTCCCCAATACTATTTTAAGGTTCTTGCCATGTGCTTCAGCTTTGTCACATTTCTCAGAACCTACTGAAGCAGGGTTGCTAGGCTCATGTGGAGACATTATCTTGTTATTGACTGTGTTTTATATTGGTATCTTGGAATCTGACTTTGGAAAAAATGTAATTCCAAATGCTGATATCTGGTCTTGTGTTTGTTGGGTAGGTGTTTTTTTCTTGGTTTCTGTTGTCCTCTCTGTTTCTAAAGAGAGTGCAGTATGCTGTCTTCTGCCTTGTGGTAAATATTGGGGGGGTCCTTCTAGGTGCAGACACTGGGGGTTCACAGTACAAATTGTTTCTAGGCATTGGGAACTAATACTCAAGCATAGGAGAGGATTAGAAGGGGGTGTTGAATGGGAAATCTACGGGAGGGAAGAAAGTAGGGTGTTCCAACAAGATGTGCTTAGTCTCCTGAGAATGGGACAGAGTTAAAAAAAAAAAAAAAAAGAAGAAGAAGAAGCCCAACGAGGCTGCTCTGCTACAGACAGAGCTACAGATAAGGCTGGGGGATTGGATTTGGAGAAGGGAAAGACAGTGAAGATCTTGCTCTTTCCCTGACCAGTATTGCTTGTGAGTTCCCAGGGAATTTAAAGGCATTCTTTACAACTAAAAATGAAGTAGGTATGAGAAAATGTACAATAAAAAATGTCATGCCAAAGTCCAGTTTCTCTTTCAAACCACTATGATTGCTACAATTTTAATGAACCTATCCAAGAAACAAATACTCACATAGGTTAAAGTGAGTATAAAATAATGCAGTTGGCACAAAAATACTTTAAACTGTTATTTAGCATAAAAAGTGTTTCTACAATAGAGAGGGAAATTAATATACTGTTTCAATTTTTAAAATTGCTCTATTTGTAAATAAAATGAATTCATTTTAGGTAAGTGCATTTTAAAGAATGTTTTCTTTTCAATTTTAAATGGGAAGCATTACCTTTTAGCTAAATATAGTGGACTGTAAAAGTATATTTAAATTGATCTGCTGCCAAAACCCAATAAATACGGTGAATGATATTTTCAATATTATTATTAGCCTGTGTATTAATCCAAGCAGAGTAATGTGACAAAAGATAAAAAAAAAAGCCGGGCAGTGCTAGCCTTTAATTCCAGCACTCAGGAGGCAGAAGCAGGTGGATCTCTCTGAGTTCAAGGCCAGTCTGGTCTACAAGATCTAATTCCAGAACAGGCTCCAAAGCTACAGAGAAACCCTGTCTCAGAAAACTAAACCAAACTAAACCAAACCAAACAAACAAACAAACAATAACAACTAAAAAAAATGCACCAGAGTGGCTGAAATGAAGAAAAAAAAAACCCTTTAATAATAGCAAATTTACTCAGGAATTGGATGTAAGAACTCATACCCCATTATCAGCCATATGTACTTAGAAAGCCCATTTTGCACCAAAACAATGCCAGTCCTATGACACAAAATTCTTACTTCTCAGGTATGCATAAATCCTTATAATATTGATCACAGGTTGTCCCAAAATGAAGCAACTAACCTTTCCATGAGTAACACAAAAGATAATTAAACTGCTATTATTTTATATAATAAGATGTTACAATTGATCGATAATAAATGTTCTATAGTAGTTTAGTCTTTTGAAACATTGTGATATGTGTAGAAATGTTTTTATTTGAGCTTATGTCCATGTGTGGATTCCATGACTCCCTAGTGACTTAAGAGACATGGAAAGGGTGCCAAGTCCCTGAAACTGGAGTTACTCCTCTTTCTATACTCCAGTTCCTATAAGTTGCCGTGTAGATGCTTCAAACCAAACCTGGGTCTTCTGTAGTGCAACAAGTGCTCTCAACTGCTGAACCACAGCTTCATCATGAATTAATGTTATTGTTATAAACAAGTCACCCAATAAAAATTCAATGTTTCATAACATCCATTGTTTTATTTTCATTTCTGTTTTGCTGTGATCAAATATCCTAACAAAGAGCAGTTTAAACTGAAGGGGTTAATTCAAGGTTACTGACCAGAATTTACATGTTACATCACATACATAGTCAAAAGCAGAAAGAAAAGAATACATGAACGTTTATTGTTTAGTTTTGTTTCATCTCAATTTCTCCACTCAGATACAAATCAAGACTCTTCCTTAAGGAATAGTGCAATCTACAGTGTGGCAAGTCTTCCCAAAAAAACTAAAGAAGACAAAATCCCACAGAAATGTCCATAGGAAGACCAACTGTATGCAATCTCTCATTGAGATTACCTTCCCAGGTGAAGCTGGGTTATATAAAATTGGAAAACTATACACTCCACTCTTTGTCAACCTAACACTCAAATACATAACTTCTAAATCATAACCTTCTTTCTCTTGTCCCCAAAGCCTCATGTTTATTTAATAAGATGTAATACAACTTTAAATTCATGAAGTATCTTTTAAAACTCACAAGTCTCTCTTTTATATTTTTTATTTTTATTCATTACTTTTTTATTGAAAAAAAATTCTGCATTTTCCCAGACTCCCATTTCCCTCACTCTCCTCCCACTCCTGTCCCTCTCCCTCTCCTGTCCGAAGAGCAGTCAGGGTTCCCTGCCCTGTGGAAAGTCCAAGGTCTTCCCCCCCTCCATTCAGGTCTAGGAAGGTGAGCATCTAAACTGGATAGGCTCCCACAAAGCCAGAACATGAAGGAGGATCAAAATCCAGTGCCATTGTCCTTGGCTTCTCATCAGCCCTCATTGTCCGCCATGTTCAGAGAGTCCGGTTTTATCCCATGCTTTTTCAGTCCCAGTCCAGCTGGCCTTGGTGAGCTCCCAATAGATCAGCCCCACTGTCTCCGTGGGTGGGTGCACCCCTCGCGGTCCTGACTTCCTTGCTCATGTTCTGCCTCCTTCTGCTCCTCATTGGGACCTTGGGAGCTCATTCTGGTGCTCCAATGTGGGTCTCTCTCTATCTCCATCCGTCGCCAGATGAAGGTTCTATGGTGATATGCAAGATATTCATCAGTATGTCTATAGGATACGGCCATTTCAGGTTCCCTATCCTCAGCTGCCCAAGGAACTAACTGGGGACATCGCCCTGAGCACCTGGGAGCATGGGCTCCGATAAAACTAAAAACAATTTATATCATTTCAATACATCATGAGGCAGGCTAACACTCTATTTCAAAAGAGAAAAATCACTGTTTTGCAAGAAACAGATCAACACAAAATCAAATCTACAAATTCAAGAATGGAATCCTCTGACTAATGTCTGTACCTTTGCTTCTGGGCTCACAAGGACTTACTTGTCTTATCCTTTCATCTCTACTTTCTATAGCACATATAACATCTTTTTTGGACTCGGATATAAAACATAGTATAAAAATAGCCTATTGAGTATTAAAACAAGAAAAGAAAAGTAAATGAGGGGAAAGAAAATATATGAACAGGAAACGAGAGGTTCTTGTGAATGAAATAGAGATTATGACTCCAAAAGAAAATGCTGGAATATCTCACTTAACCATAGGCTGCAGGAGCTCCCAGACGCCCAACTCACTTAGGCATTCTTAGACCCGTGCATTCTCTGGTAATAGCTTCCCTTATCCCAGATGTTATTGTAAAATGAGTGTGATATTATAAATAACCTATAATTTGTTACTAGGATTAGACTAATTAATAATTTGATTGTCTTTGAACAATTTCTGTCTCGCTGTAAATGATCAATTACTATTCAAAAGAAAATGAAGGATCAGACTAGATGGTTTGGAGAATGTGAATAAAGCCATAGAAAATGAGCCAAAGCTGACCCCAAGTGCATTGTTGTGTTAATTAGAATGAGGGTACTACTACCAAATTAGACAGGGAATAAAAGTGAAGTAGACTTGATAGATAATGCATTCCGTGTCCAACGTGTTGATTTTTAATTGCCTGAGGGACATCTTATTAAGTGCGCTCATTAAGAAAGCAATCAGGAGTTCAATGGGGAAGTTCATACTGAAGGTAAATATTTGTGAATCATTTCTGCATGGGAGCAGATGAAGCCATTGACTGCAGATGCTACCATTTAGTGAAACGGACTATTTGTAAGAAACAGAGTCACCTAATACAAATAGAACACTGAAATAAAAGGAGATGCATAAAAGCATGCTTAAAGAAGAAAAACACTCTTTTAAGAAGACTGGGAAAAAAGGTATTAAAAGATAAGGGAATAACTATTTTCATTTATCATCAATACTTGGAATACTAGTCAATATTATCAAATTCTACCATAGAAAATGAGAAAGGATGTATATCGTTAACCTAGCAAAAATGTGCATATAGATGTATATATGTGTTGCACAAAAATATGTATATATGTATATACACACTCAGACATATATGGATGCACGTGTTTATATATATGTATGCATATATGTCAAGAGTGAGGAATTGCAGAACATGAGCCAAAAGAAAATAAATAGTTTAGTTTTCATGAAATGTCATAAACAGAAAAAGTAGAAATGAATATGACTAGATTTGATACGATTGGTCTAGGCCTGTCACTCAGCTGATGGAGTGTTTGCACAGCAGGTGAGAAGCCTTGTGTTCAATATCCAGTAACGATGATAACTGATGTGGCAATGCCCATGTGTAATCCCAGCACTCAAGAGGGGGAACTAGGAGGGTCAGAACTTTAAGGTCACCCTGTATTATGCAGCAAATTAGAGTGTAACCTGGAACACATTGGACTTATTCTCAAAAATAACTAACTTCATGGATGAATGTATGAATAGATGGATGGATGGATGGATGGATGGATGGATGGATGGATGGATGGATGGATGATGATGAATGGATGGGTGGGTGGACAGATGGACGGACAGATGGATGGATGGATGGATGGATGGATGGATGGATGGATGATGGATGGATGGGTGAGTTGATGGATAGATGGATATCAAAACAATGAAAATAACTACTCTCTTATTTCATTTACTTTAAACCTAAAACGATGCTAGAATTGGAGAGAATGGTAGGTTTAAGGAAGGAGAGAGTCATGATTAGGGAGGAGTACAAGACTGTCTTCTACAATGACTAAGTTCTGTCTCTTAGTTTGTATGTTTAGACATTTTCAAAAATGTGTGGAAATGTATACTGGAGATGCATGTATTTTTGATTTTGTTTAAGGAATACATCAGAAAGTTGCATAAAATATCAAATAAACTTAGAAAAATAAGGAAGTAAATGGCATTTGTACCAATTTGACTCAAAAATCCCTAAGGAATTTTGTAATGGGGAAGAGGACAGTCACTTAAAAGAACTAAAAAAAAAAGAAAAGAAATAAGCAGAAAACATGAAAGATGATGTCAAGACTAAAAACAATAAGATATATTCAAAGAAAACCTTTAAAGCCCATATGTTGCTGACAGCAGATACATAGATGAAAAACCAATTTGCTTAGAAAATGTGTTACTTTAGAATACAAACTCACAAAATTTCAAGACTGTCATTAGAATTCTAAAAAGGTATCAGTGAAACTAACTCTAAATTGTCATATGTGCAGATGTTTCTGATGTTTATCCTATGCAGAGTGTATTTTTAGTTTGTGATATTTCTTCCCTTCACACAGAACCGATGATGCTCAATAAAATTTTATAAGAAACAAAAATTTTTAAAGTTTGAGTATACAATTAGGGAGACCAAATCCAAGAACTCTGAGAGCTGTTTTCAAGGGTACATAGTAACATTTTGCTACATTATTTAAATAAAACCCAGAGGAGGATAATGCTCAGTTATCTTGCTGCATGTATTTCAAAATTTTTGCATGTACTATCACTTTAGTTTAATTCCTCAAACTAGTTGCCTTATAATTGCTGTAATTGCAAATTATATACTACATCCTTTTATTTCTTCCAGTAGATATATACCTAAAACTGCTGCATTAGTCTAGTCTACCATTACACACAAAATAACTTAGCAAGCATTTAATTTTTAGTATATTGTGTTAAGGAATTTGGCAGTTGAAGACAATGTGAATGGAATCTATGTAGAGCCAATTCATAGCTCTGCCAAATACAAATGAAGAAAACAGAAATGTAAATGTGTTCACTTTGGAATAATAAATCCTTTCTACTTCCTAGTATTCAAAGGAATAACCACTTATAAATAATTGATAACTGAGAACATACCTGTCATGGTTTGAAAGAAAATGTCCCCACTGGGAGTGGTACTATTAGAAGGTGTGGATTTGTTGGAGGAAGTGTGTCACTGTGTAGGTGGGCTTAGAGGTCTGTTTTCTAGAGCTTCATTCAGCATTATGCTTAGTCTACTTCCTATTGCCTCTGAGTCAAGATGTATGAGACTCTCATCTTCAGCACCACATCTTCTTGCATGCCGCCATGCTCTCCATCCTGAAGATAATGGATAGAACCTCTTAAAAAGAAAGCAAGCCACCTTAATTAAATGACTTTACTCATAAGAGTTGCTGTGACAAAATGGAATTCCAAATACAATATCTGATTTACATAAAGACAAGTCTTTCTCAGATGTTGTATTTATACTTCCATTTTGTCACACACTATATATATGAATAAATAAATATACATATATTTTGATAATTTTCATCAAGTAAATATTTTTATAAATATGATGATTTTTAATACAGCCAAAAGCCTATGATCTTGTAAATGAAAGGAAAGTACACATTACACATATCAGTTAGATGAAGCAAGTGTTCTGTGACACATTGCATAAAACTTAATGCTAAATTTTATAATAATGTCTTGAGTGTTTCTTTCCTTCTTATTAACAGTGACAAAAATGCAGGGAAGGTCATTAAAACAAATGAAGCTACAAGTACTTTGAATCTTCAGTTTCTATTTTTGTATTCATCATCCCATAAATTGGAACACTGATAATAATGATACAATGCAAATGTTATTGTGACCATTAAGTGAAATCACATATGCAAAGTGTTTAGAATATTGCCAGATATAAAGTCACCTAGAGCATTATTAACATTTATTATTCTTTAAAGTTCCCAAGAAATTAAATGACACTCTAATGCTATAATTACTGGCAGAGATCAAATATGTCTAATGATTATTAACTTCAAAAATACCACCTTAAAAATGATAAGCAAAATTAGTTTGATCTTGATCTCCTGACCTTGGTCTGGTCACATGAATGCATTTTAAATAATGTTTATTTATCAGTAATAATTTATTATATTGGAGAGAGACTTTTAATTCTAACTAAAAAAAAGAAAAATAATTGTATATAAAACAAGCTCTGGTATATTTATTCTGATTCAGCAATAAATTCCATAAATCATGTCATCACTTAAGACATTGAATCTTTTAAGCCACCAGTATATGCATTTCTTCATCTTTGAATCAGAATTATCAGCTTCTTTACAGACAAAACATAAAGGTTGAAGTGAATACAAGTTGATCTACGAAGCAAATACATATTCATAAACAAGTTTAGCTTTCATAGTATATTATTAAACACATGGGTTCCGCCATCAAAGACTTTGGGTTTAAAATTTGTCATTACATCATATTAGAATATTGTTAATTTTGATTTTGGATTTTGTAGAAATTTNAGAGAGAGAGAGAGAGAGAGAGAGAGAGAGAGAGAAAGAAGAAAGAAAGAAAGAAAGAAAGAAAGAAAGAAAGAAAGAAAGAAAGAAAGAAAGAAAGATGATATCTATTTACCACATGAGTGTTTGGTACCAACAGAGGCCAGAAGAAGGTATTGATCTCCCTGGGACTGGAGACCGTTGCCAGCTATTTGTGGGTTTTTGGTATGTGACTCTGGTACCCTGTAAAAGCATCCAATGTATTTAACCACCCAGTCATCTCTCCAACCCCAAAATGTTAATTATTTTAAGATTGACATTTCAATTAATATCTATGAAGTTATTTGTTTTCAGTAATGAAATCATAATTCACTGTGAGGTCCTAAAATTACTGCAAAGAGGTGTAGCTTTTACTCTCATCAATGCAAGTTACATATACATAATCTATATAAAACATACCAAAGTCCAATAAGTTTAGAGATTGCAGATTTTGTCTTGTCCTCTAAGATAAACAGCTCTGAAATACATGATGAGTTTGAATGTCTACATACTCATTGGGAAGTGTGACACAGTCAGTTTGCCCTTTACATGGATTTCAAATATTTTGGTAAATAAATTGACATGTAAGGAAGTGAATACCATATGACAAAATAAAACTACATTCATCAAAAAGATTCTATTTACTCCAACTGCTGTTTTTATCATAAAAATCTTGGAGTTACTTTATCATTGCCATTCTGTGAAATTCTGCTTTACAAAGATAGTCTTAAAAGACTTGATAGGATTAATCGCTCCTCTCAAATATTACTGACAATAGTTATTTTATCAGGCAGTGCTTTGAATCCTAACAAGCTCAAGATGAAGTAAAAAGCTATTTTGGATCCATGAGTTAAAATACAATTGCTAAACTATAACTTCTAATATTATTTTATTTGATAACTCAAGTAGAAGGAAATTTTCTTTAAAGAGCATTGTTGGAGTGTCAAGTACCATCATTTCATTGTACAAGTTTACCTTTTGTACAGATATGAAAGATATCTTTAAAAAGCTATCTTTGGTCTTTGAAACAGTCTAGAATAGTATAATGTACTAAAAGCATTAATCCATTAGGGATGCTTTTCTGAACTAGCAGAATGCCATGACAGAGTATTTGGTTTTGGCCCATATGATTGTTTCAATTTAACCAGCACCACATTGGGAATAGGAAGCTGAATATTTGTCTTCATCTGGGTACAAGTAGCATGTTACTATAAAACAGATTAATGATCCTTAATTATGATGACAGGACTAGATATATTTACATCTTGGTGCTAGTGGTAAAGGAGAAAAATAATACTTATTACACTTTATCTTGCTTTAATTTGAAAAGTCTCTTAACTAATATTTTCACTTGCATTCAGAATATTTCTGAATATTTTGATATAAAAATGGATATTATCCTGCCAGTGTCTGTGATAGAGAGTACAGAAAAACAGTAGAGGGTTTATAAACATGACAATTTTGTTTATATATTTTAGTTGATTTCTTTTTTATTAATTTTTTCAGAATTTCAAGTATGGATATTATGTGTTTTGATCAAATCCTCCACCATTCCCTCCCTCAGATTACTCCTGTCTACTCCCATATTTTTTTTTCTCTGCCAGTATATACATAGGATCATTCACCTGGGCCGTGAGCAGTCAGTCTCTCAGCAACCGTCTTCCTGAGGATAACTGGCCATCCCACTCCCCAAGGTGTCATCAGTCAATACCTCTTGAGCATGGAGTAGGGTTTCCTTTAGCAAATACTCACACTTGAGAAGAAAAAAAATTGTTTTGAATTGTATTTTCCAAAGTTGTTCCAAACTATCTGTGTATCATAATTTTGTCTTGAAGGAAAAAAGCAAGAAAGGAAAAAAATGATAGAAGGAACAAAGGAAGGAAGGAATGAAGAAAAAAAGAAACAAAGAAATAAAGTTGGATGAGTGTGGTGATTAATTAACTGATTAAGTAATTAAAGTCAGATGGCAGAACTTTGGGTAGACTATTAAAGGAGAAGATGGAATGAGGACAGAGAGAAGACAATTAGGAGATCAGGGAAGAGGAAGTAGAAGACATGATGTATCATGCAATACAGTAATTATTTCTGGTCAAATCTTTAAACATTCATCAGTATAATCACCTAATATTGTGCAGGCAATTGTTTGATAACAGTCTCTTGAAGACAATAGTTAATAAACCAAAAGTTTCTCATTTAATTAGGTTTCTCTTCAGTGCACTGAAATACATTATTAGTTGAAAACCAACTATAGACTATTTTAGCTTTACTTTAAGAGAAACAAACACAAAGAACAAAGAATGCATTCAGGAAGATGTTCAAAGTCTATAGTAAAATTGACTCGCAGGTTAAGTGGTTTTGCAATTAACTTGATTTCTTTTATTCTACTCTTTACAAATAATTCATTTCATAAACACATTCACCTTTTAAATTTGTGATTAATATACATAGTAACTGATTTCTCAAGGTGAAACAAACATTGCAGAGATCTATGAATACTAGAATTAAAGCTGTTATTGTATCTAGCCAAGCATAATTGGATGTTTCCTTTATTCCTCGTGGGCATCTGAATCTATCCTGAGCTCATAGTGGTGGGAATTTTAGTAGGGAGAAAAACAAACACTGGCATAATAAAATTCCAAGTGATGAGAAACCAGGGTGAACATACTAATTTACTTATTATTTATCTATTTGTGGGTGAAAACGTTCCATTGTACACACAGGGAGGTTAGAGTACAACTTACAGGAGGTGATTTTTCTTCTTCTATCATTTGGGTCCCAGAGTCTGAATTGAAGGCATACAACTTGGCAGCGTGTGCTTTCCTTAAGTATTCTGAATTCTCAGTTTGACATTTTCCAAATACAAGAATAAAAGACAGTGCTAAATATAGCTCTCCGAGAAATTATGGCAGTCATATATAAGAAACAGAACACCAAATGAAACTCCCAAGCTATGAACACTCCCCTTTTCAAACAATGGCCATTGCAAGCTTGAGCCCTCAAAATCTTATACTTATATGAAACAAAATGTCTCTCCAAACAACACATTCAGTACCAGCATTTGAATCAAGTGTCATGTACATTACACTCAAAATAATGAAATAAGTTTTTCTGCCTCCAACAAACAAGTACTCTCATTTCAGTTGCAGCTTCTATTCAATCTTAATCTGGAACACGTTTTGGTACTTAAGGTAAGGGGCTGAACCCTCATGGACTGGTTTTGACTGTACATAACAACATGACCAATTGAGTTCTTAGCATGAACTTTTAGAGAAAGCCTCTATTTATTTATCATCTTACGCCTATACAGAACTGGTTATCCGTATCAGACATATCATGTGAAACACATGAGCAGAAGAGAATGTACATATAACCCCACCACGTCAATTAAAATAGGGAACACCCTTGGTATCAACCCTATTAATCATCTTCTTTTCCCTTTCTCCTGGACTTCATGAAAAGAAGCTCTGAACAGTACTTGGAATCCCTGAGTACTTTGTCACTAACGTGGCCTGCTGTTTACTTATAAAGATTTCTCCCCCTCTGAACTATGTGATTCTTCATCGAGCAGTCATGCTGCCTTGCAATCCTTGTGTGTCTCTATTTCAACCTGTGACTAGGACACCAAGAACATAGACACCCTAGGCTTGTATTGATTATATGGTTCTTTTGGATGAGTAACGATTGAACATCACTACACAATTTCCCCACTAGTTAGTTAAATCTATGAACTTATACATGGAAAGACGAATTACCTAATCATTCTTGAAAGATATAAATAGAACCGTATTGTTTAATTTCAAATCTAAGAAAATGGTCAATATTTGGTATAAAAAGAATTTGCTGAGATCAATATAAAAATCAAGAGAGAGTTCACCCCTCTAAGGTCACACTGCATTTGATTTTCAACAGAATACAAAAATGTCATATAGTGGAGATGCTGACAAGCTACACATGAATTCTAAGTACTCCATGAAAATCAGAAAAATTTAATCAGCAATAATTAAAATTTTCTTCTGTGTATGAAGTAAATAAAGTATATTGAAAAATCACTATTCATACTGTTATTGTTACATGAGTATAAAACCCTCTCACTATTATTTTTGATTTTTCGAGACAGGGTTTCTCCATAGCTTTTAATCAAAGAATATTTGGAAAATATTCCATTTTTGTAAAAATTAGTCATGGAAAGTTTTTTAGTATCTTCACTGCTTTTATAAAGGTGACAGTCTAGTAGAGAATGGTTACATAGTTACTCAGTGGTGATAAGTTTCTAAATGAAAAATAAATGGTTCTTGTGCAAATATAACTTGATCTCTAACCTGTGTAGCTGGAAAAAGGTTGTGAGATGCTCCCCAAGTTTCCAGCTTTGGTTAGCAGTCACACACGCAGGAATGGGCTTTAGTGAAGCAACTGACTTTTATTTCTACTCCTGTAAAAAACTCTTCACCTATAATCTGTCAGGAATTCCTATATGAGTGAATAGACTGTGTGTGTGTGTGTGTGTGTGTGTGTGTGTGTGTGTGTGCGCGCGCGTGTGTGTGTTTCCAGGGAAAAAATCTGTCACAAAACAAGATCATGATGCAGAAATAGATACAGCAAGTACGAACAAATTCTTGAATTTTATTTATCTACAGAAATCAAGAAAATAAGGTTGAACATTGAGAAGTGATAATGCTTTGAGTGGTGAATCTCTACATTTTCAGCAGCTTAAAGATGCAAAATGAATGCTCAAAATGCAGGCTTATTTGACAAATATCTTGGTGTATTTCATTTTTCCCATGAAGTGAGAAAAGAAAACTGTGTTTGTGCACTCCCACTGCCAGATAATGTGGCATGTCGTATAAACTAATGTTTAGCATCTTTAGTAAATTGCCTCAGAATCTAGACCATAATCAAACAAAAATTTAAAAGATTCATTTGCTTTGCCCAAAATTTTCTTTAAATCTATAAATATTGGGAGTTACACAATAGAATGCATCACTGCCACAATAATCTTTTTCTAACTAACAATTACATACTATATTATAGACCACATACAAAGTCATAGTATGTGTTCAACTGAGATCTCTGAAATTTGTCAGCTTTCCATTTCTATTCGGATAGCTAGTGAATGGACTCCCTCTGATCAATGTTTTATTTTCAAAATAATAGATCAAAATGCAATGGTTATCTTATGAGTGAGACTCTAAGTAAGATGTACTACATTGAGATGAGATTGTACAGAGAAAAAAAGAGGGGAAATTTTGTTAAAAACATAGTTTGGTGAATAAACAGAAGTCCATGTCACACCATTTTCAATATGATCTTATGTATCTTTGTCAGAAACTTGTTTAGAAAAAAAGAAATCAAGCCGGGCGATGGTGGCGCACGCCTTTAATCCCAGCACTCGGGAGGCAGAGGCAGGTGGATCTCTGTGAGTTCGAGGCCAGCCTGGTCTACAAGAGCTAGTGCCAGGGACAGGCGCGAAATCCTGATTCAAAAAAAGAAAAGAAAAAGAAATCAAGCTAGTCTTAAGGCTTCTTTTATCATCAGAAGACTGCCATACAGACTTTTCTACAGTTTTATTTATGTACATTTATTTATGTACCATTTTCATGATACATAAGAATATAATCACCAAAGTCATGGTGTCTATTATAGAGATTTATACTTTAAAAAATCAGAATTTTATATCATGGAAAAATAGAGAAGACCCACTTCTAATCCATTTTGTTGACTCCTACGTAACACTTTTCAATTTCTTCTGAAGACATGTTTGTCTTCAGCGAGCCAAAGAGGGAAATTTACTAGAAAATGGTACATGTGGTCTTCAACTATTCTATATTAGACACTTGATTTAATTATATGTATAATTTAAGAAATCATTCAAATTGTTACTAATGAAAACTCATCTATGGATATCATGAGTTTCTCCACCAGCAAATTACATATTCTATATATACATATATATATATATATATATATATAAGCTTATTAACGTTCACGATTCATACTTTCCCAGCAAAGCATGCAGCCCCAATGTGTGCCCAGTTCTTTATCAGTGGTTGTAAGGATTGAAGCTGTCTAGTACAGAATAGGATGTGCCTTTTCTTTGCTAAGAGGCAGGCTGTTCCTTTTTCATTTTCTTGTCTTCATTCCCTGAAGACATGAGCATTATAACAGAGACTTCTCCATCTCAGCTGTGCCTCTACACACATAACTGCTCCCTTCCCTCTGTCGCACATAACTCTGGGAACTAAAGTGACAGGATTTCTCTCACTTGCACTTGCTTTTGAATCACCTGGTGGATTCCTTAAAGCAGGCTGCCAAACCCTCACTTTTGTCTTCGTTGCCCTAAGTCTGAGTTATGCCCTAGACACCTACATTTCTAACATGTTCCCAAGTGAAACTTAGGCTGTTATACCCTACACACACACACACACACACACACACCCCACACACACACAAACACACACACACACACACACACACACACACACACACACTTGAAGCATCTTTGAATTAAAACCATGTTTTCCTTGAATTTCCTCCAAATACTGGGATATTATTATTTGAAATTGCATCAGAATGGATGAAATATTGCTTAAAATTAAGCTTCTGGATTCTATTGGCTCCTTTGTCTATGCTATATAAAGAATTTCTTATTAACCAGCATTTTCATTAAGCTTAGAGATTGCTTTCCTCTAATCTTCAGCCATCCCCACTAACAAGCTGAACTAAAACCAAAATTATTAACTCTAGGAAAAAAAAGTGTTTTGATATTATTATATCACTTTTACTGTATATATGTACATATATATTTATTTACATAGTGCATATTGATATTGAAATAACTCTATAAAGTATCGTTTCAGGGATTAAAATGCTCCTTCCAAAAGTGGGCTTTTCTCAGTATCTAAGTTAGAGAGGTCTTCACATAAATTATTGATAGTAACTTTCCCAATAATATACTTCATTTTTTATGTGTTTATAAGACCAGCTTTGCTCCATCAGAGGGCTGCTAATTAAAATAAAAGTCCAACCAACAAAAAATAGGTAGTACTCTGCCTCTTCTAGTGAATTTACATGAAACATAAAGAAATTCATTCCCAGGTAAATGAAAGAAAGGAATGCATAGTTTTTTTTTTTTTTTTTTTGATAGCTGTTGGAGGGACTGCAAGCAAAGCCAGACTGCTCGAATGGGTCACTATGGGATTCATTAGTGACCACAGATTCATAGAAAAGGGACAGAAATAAAAATGTTGCAAAGTCAATTCTGTATAACAATGAGACAAGGGCAGAGTAACCTACCAAATAAAATGTACTACTCACCCCAAGCTCAAGGCTGCTGTTAGTACAGACAGGTAAAAATATACTAAGAATTTAAAAGAGATACTTTCTCTTGGCTTGACAACTTTAAATTTCTAGGAACTTAAAAAAGTCACACTGGAATAATTAATAAAAATAAACTATATTACTCTCTCACACATGAGATAGATTTTTTTTATTTTAGTTATGAAACTGTAGTTGTACTTACTTGGAGGGTGCTTCTAAGTATACATACAGCAACAATTTTAATTATTTGCTCAAAAAATGTTGTGTCTAAGTAATAGAAAGTTTTATAATATGCTAGACAGCGCCATGGATCTCTTTCCCAGCGTCTTTTTCTCCAAGACACCTTGTAAGTAAGCAGACCAGTGCAATGGTTATAAGGGTGAAAAGAAAATGAACAAACACAACAACAAACAAGAAGTTTCTTTGAAATGTATTGGTTTGAATGAGAAAGAATGACTCCCTCAGGCTTAAATGTTTGAATACTTGGTTCCCAATTACTAGAATTGTGTGTGAAGGATTAGGAGTTGTGGCCGTGTTGATAGAGGTATCGTACTAGGGATGCCTTTTATGATTTCAAAATACTCAGTTCACTTCCAATGTACTTCCCATGGGAAGATCAAGATGTGAGGTCTCAGCTCTTCCATGTAGTTGCATTATGGACACTTACCCTCTGAAGCCATAAGTACATACAAAGCTGCCTTTTGTAAGCTGTCTTGGTCATGGTGTTTTATCATAGAAATAGAAAAGAAACTATATATCCAAAAGAAGTAAACAGTATTTCCAGACGTCTGCATTTCATAATCACAGAAACAAGATTCAAAACAGTATAAGCTCTTATGGACTGCCAAATAAAGAACATAAGGGAAGATGTGTGAGGGGTGTGAGTGTGTGTGTTTTGTGTATGTTCACATATATACAGAAATGTTTTCAGCAAACAAAAAAAATTCCATTTGCAACAACACAAACAAGGGTCTGGAATTATGGTATGTGAAATATACCAGACACATGAGGAAAAAAATTTGCATGATGTCATGATAGAAACCTAAAGAAATAAACCAAAAAACTTTCATAAAAAGAGATGAATGTTGCATGACAGAGACTGAGATTTTGCTCTGTGAATTTTCAAGGCATAGTAAAGACCAATGAAACTGTAAGAATATTAGTTATATACTAAACAGGAAAGAGGAAATCTTAATGTAATATTGATAAAGAAAGCATAAATATATATTATTGATACTGAAAGTAGAAATATAAATATTGATAATGAAAGTGTGTTAGCTATTATACCAGAAAAAATAGTAAAGCATTTGACAGTCTTCAAGACTTGAAAATATTAATGATCATAATTTTCAAAATTAAAAAGTACTACTTCCTAAGCATGCATTTTTAGGTTGGACATAAATTGTTTGAAATTCAGGACATCTTGTCTTTTCTGGACACTGCTTAAGATATGACTTTCCTCTGATTGTGGAAATCAGAGTATCTCCCTAACCCAGAAGTCCAATGCACCCCAGAGCTACAGAACACAACAAAATCTTCTGGATTTTTATGAGTGTTGTAAAGACTGTCTTCTCTGCATGTGTGTCTTTGAACTCCCCAGTCAGCAATCCTAGAGGTAAGCCAAAGGAAGAAACTGAAGACTGTAATGTAGACTTCAGGATAGTCAGAGCCTCTGTAGTGCCTCCCCTGCACTTCCTGTCTATTGATTGGTTAAACTCCCTACTATCTTATCCCATAATTTCCCTTTCAATTTCATGAACAACCCTGGCCACTCTGTGAGCTGAAGATAATGCATTTTTTCTTTTTCATATTTTTCTCTATTTGTTATTGCCTGAGATACACAATCAGCACTAAGTTCTAGTCAGGACTTTGTTAGAAAATCATGATGTCAGCTGTGCCCAGTTTAAAAGACTCTACACCCGATTTTTAAACCAGAACAATGGGATCAGAGTAATGCTTTGAAACTGTGGTATGTTGATTGTCAAAAGTAAAAGTAACGGTATGAAAACTGACGTGCCCATAACGAGCACTCTTCGTAAATAGAATTCTCTAAGTTTCTTTTGACTGTTGATTTTACAACCCATCATGTATGGGGCCTGTTTTCAAACTTGACCAAGCTCTGAATTTCTCTGGAGGGATTGTGGAAGCAGCTCTATGGGCCCTGCCATCAGCCTCTCTGATTCAGTGTGCCTGTGCTGAATTCTTAACAAGGTCCCAAGTGGAGCTGAAGTTGCTGGGTTGGAGAATACATTTGAGTACCACTATATAACAGATAATGGTTTTGCAATGAAATAGAGAGGAATAACTATTTAATATTATGAAAATATTTTCTATCCATGTTGTTTGCATGCACTGTGTTATATCTAGTATTGTTTAGACCTTTTGACAGTAAATAGATAATCTCAGGATATATAGTTTACTGTGATTGCAATATAACCTATAAAATGAAAACAAAACTACTGAGATTGCCGTCAAGTGGTGGACACTAAAGTGAACATGAATTCCCAGAAAGCCAATTTGTCTACCAAGATTAACTGACTGGTTGAAACATAGTGATGTGCGGAAGTTGGATTGTGACAGGCCCAGAGTTTAGATCCACATCTCTGATATACCTACCAATGTATTTTAAACTTGCCTTGATTTATGATTTTCTTTGCTCTGTAGAGCTATAAAACCTCATGAAACGGCTCCCACATTGAAACATCAATTGGGGTTTGTTTCCAAATCTTTGTTCCCAGGTCATGGTATCTAAAAGACACAGTAATCCAAATTTATCTAAAAAACAAATTGATAGACACAATTATTTTTATAGTAAACAAATTATGTAAAGACAGAATAAACTTTTGTTGGGTAGAAATGTTGTATATACCTGTGTAGAGTTTTCCTGTGCAGTAGTATTTTCTGTACCTATATAGTGTTATACTGTTTTCCTGGTGGTTAGTGTTTGTACATAGCTGTGTAGAGCTATGATGCTTTCTTGGTTGGAAATGTTGTACATACCTGTGTGGAGTTATGCTTTTAAGATTTCAAAAGAAAAGAAGAAGGGCACTGGGGCTTAGTACAGTTCACTTGATTTAGGACATAACATAATTTAATAATACAGAGAAATTATATAATTGATAACTGATCATTAGAAACTGATGATTCAGAAATGTTTAAAATTCTCTATTTTTTTAATGTCTGTGTTTAATTATATGCTGAAGGACCCAGCAGGGCTGCTGGTTTCTTCAGGCAACAGAAATTAATCACTCCTAGTTTTGCTTAAGCAAACGCTCTGCTCAAGAGCAACTTCTGTTACTTCTTTCTCCCTTTGTTAGTTTGCTTGGTACTTCTTCTCCTACGTTTGTTACATCCTTGTTCTCCTGAAAAGAATGACACTTTACAAATCCTATAAAGCCACTTTCCCCGAACATTTTACTAAAGCAAAGGAAGGTGGTATTTATGCGTACTCTGATAGGCTGACTTGGAAAATTAAGGTCATCTTACTATGACAAATACCTGAAACAGAGCAAGTCTACTCTGGAGGTCATTTAGTTATAAGGATAGGCCGTGATTATCTGTGCCTTCTGACACAAATATGACAGACATTTATTCACCAAAATAATAGCACTTTTCACAACTCAACTTCCTTGACTTTTGTACATATAATTCGTAGATCGATCAGCTGTGTCTGGGTGTGTAAACTTCCTACTGTAAAACCTGACATTTTACATACTATGGTAAACTGGCTCATAAACGCAGGGACAATGACAGTTTCCTTATTACATGCAAAATTCTATACATCGCCTTTTGTTCCATAGATATGAAAAACTTAGATGAAAGTTAGAACACCAAAGCAATGTGATTGACATTTTTACTCTGAGCTGTGTGACAGAGTGAGAGAAGTAGTGTGATGTGGAATTCCCCTCTGTATGCTACGAATACCATTGGCTAATGAAAAACCTGGATAGGGTAGAACAGAGCTAGGTGGGTCAAATGAAACTGAATGCTGGGTGAAAGAAAGGTAAATTCAGAGAGAAGCCATGGAACCTCGTAGGAGTCAGAACTTCACCTGGTAAACCACAGCCACATGGCGAAACACAGATTACTAGAAATGAGTTAAATTAAAATGGAAGAGCTAGCTAATAAGAAGTTAGAGCTAATGAGCCAAGCAGTGATTTAATTAATACAGTTTCTGTGTGGTTATTTCAGGAGTCTGGGCAGCCGGAAAATGAACAAGAAGCCTCCTACTATAGTAGTGATTGGTGAGATCTACATTTACCACACCCACAGGTGAGAAGCTAAGTATGGAATGACACCTTTGCCTTGCTCCCAGTTACTGGTCAAATTCTTTCTGTTACACGTTATAAGAAGAAACAACCATGATAGATACAAGTTTTAAAATCAGGCCCAGTAGAGTGGATATTATTTTTATGACAGATACCATTTTAAATTAAGGAGCAACTAGTCAGATATCCACATTCAATACTCATCAACATCAGAAAGATAAGAAGAAGAAAAAAAATGGGACAGCTACAAATTCCTTTTCAACTTGAGATGTAGAAACAGGCAGGAAAGGAGGAGAGCTAATCACTAAACTGAAAGGGAGAAATACCTTTTCTCTAGAGGTTTGGAAGATTTCTGAACAGGTGGCAAAAAAACTCAGCTTACAGCATAGTTTTAATTACAGCACATAATCAACCCTGTGGCAAATCTACAACAATGATCCCCTTTAATTAAATATCAAGACAGATAGGACGGGTTTATCTAGCAAATAAACCTCAGGTGCATTGGGAAGAGAAAAAAAAAGCCAATTCTCAAGTAACAGGGACAAATTTGTTCTAATGAATGCACACTCTCTCTAATTGTAACTACAAAGAAAAAGATTTTAAGCCAAGATATTTTCTATAAAATATAAAGTTTTATAATTGCAAAATGTATTAAAACTATTTGTTTAAATAGTATCTATTTATGTTCTTTACTCTGTATGATTGACCATTGTCACAGCTGTATTACATATTATTGAACATGCAAATTTCATTTTTTTATTTATTCAAGGTCCTTCTCTCTGCTATGTTCAAGTTAGCAAAAATGGGGAAGAAAAGGGGGGAATATTAAACGATATCCCATGGATATTCATGACACCAAATTTTCTGGATCATGGATAATTGCTTTTTTATAATATTCATATAAAATCTAGGATTTTATTCCTAGGCTAGAACATCTTGAGGAATATCCATTATAACATATAAAGAAAGAGAAAAATAAAAGATTGAGACAAAAAGAATCGAATTTACAGAAAAGAAGGGTATAAATTCTTAAAGTACTCCAATTTCACAAGACCTAATAATAGATGGAAAAAATCCATAGAGAAGAAAGAAGTCATTGAATATTTTGGTGCATGTTCCAGGGCAGTGAATTCTTTCTAGCATTACCTATGTCACAAAGTTGCGAATAACTTTGATCCTTTTACTATAAGCACTCCTGAAGGGCATTAACATTTAGCGAGCCTTTTCTGTTCTGCTTTCTATGGTAGATGCCTTAGGAACACAGTCTCTTCGTTCTCATAAATCCCTGGGAAGTAGGAAACCAAATAAGAGCCATGTGTTGTTATTCAAACTTCATTAACAGAAAAGCATGAAGGGGCTTCCCAAGTCAAGAGCTCTGAAAGATAAAGGCTGGCCAGGAGTTGAAGGATAGACTGAGATCTCTTTGTTAGAACTTGGGTGAAAGGGAAGGGATGATAGAAGAATGCCTGGTGGTTAGAGAGATTATATCTCATTCTAGTAGCTTGACAGTCTTCACCTGAAGAAGACTATCTTATGAAGAGAGCATACACTGGAAGAGAATTGTGTCAACCTGTCTGTTTTTTGTTTGTTTTTTTTTTCTGTTTGCATAGTTACAACTGAGAGTTCCTAAATTAGTTCAGAAGGTAACCAAATCAGATCTGTGTTTTTAATAATTTTGACCCTAAAATGCAAAGCTTCTGGAGAAAAAAAAAGAGCCAAAATATAAGTAGAGTTTTATGAGCTTATCTGAGTGGTCTAGTTGAGGGAGTTATAGAATATATAGGGAAAGAGAGAAGTACACAAGATCAAACTGGTAATGCAGTTAGAAGTTAAAAAAAATAAAAACATAATAATAGTTTACTTTTAGAAAATGAGGCAGCATTTGAATTCAGATGATTATTGGTAAAAGCTTTTTTATTTTGAGATGGCTTTTACTTAATTGGAGATTCAGAATTCAAAGGGAAAGTGGGATGAAGTTATCAATATTGGGTGGGCTGGATTTGCAAAGCACCACTTAAAAAGTATCAGTAAAAGTGTGGAGGAGACACTTAGTCATCAGTCAGAATGTGTAGCAAAGGAAACATCTGGGTTGAAGGCACAAATAGATCAATCTGCATACAGGAAAATCTGCACACATAAAATCCACAAGGGATTTTTTGACCTCAACGAAATGTGTCTAAATAGTACATCATTTTATTTATGGAAATGCCACTGTCTTCAAAATTTTGTCATGTTGCAGTAAAAGAACCAAAGCTTTGGAGTTTTTGTGCCCCCATTTCATGCCATCAGAATAAACTTTATCAAAATGTGTTATAATATACATCCTTAACTTGATTAAATTTCCAGTGGTAATATTTTCAAATTCTACCCTATTAAAATAATTCATTTCTCTTTTAGCCAATTTATGTGAGATTCTTCTCCCAAATTTATATCTTTGTCCTCCTCCTGTTTATTCTATCTTATCTACATTGCAAAACTGATTTTTAATTTTATTTTATGATAATAAAACTCCTGACCCATAAAATCCTTAACATTAATGTCAATCAATTACATTTTTATTCAGGAAAAAAATACTTATATAGATAAATGAGGGAAAAACACTTATTCAGTTAACAAGTATAGTACAGTAAAGTATACACACACACACACACACACACACACTCAGACGCACACAAAGACTTGTGGAGAACCAAGAAGTCATCTGTGATAAACATTGGAGTTAAGAACTAAAGAGTAAGTAATGCTTCCAAATGAGAAATAAGAGTGTGTGAAGTAATAGAATAATAATGTCATTGACAAGATTGTAAAAGAAAGGAAGAACCAGCCTGGCTCCATCTTAGGCCCAAAAGCCTGCCTACAGTAAAGAAAAGTATGTTAATTCCTCATTATGATTAAACCTCTGTTTCTCAAGTATTGGGCTATGCCCCACCTGTTACCTTAACTACAAATGGTTCTATACTACCTGTTCCAAGAATGGTTATTATGCCTTTGTTTCAAAAAGTTATTTATAAGCATTTTGCAACCCAATCTTTGTTTCAAAAGGTTATATGACCACTTATGACTACCTTGTTTTGGCCACCTTGCAACCTTGTCTTGGTTTCAAGAGGGTGCTAAGACTAACATGTTTGTTCTGCTCCTATAACCCAGCCTATTTTGCTCAGCAAATTCTCCACTTTTAAATCCCACATGTTTGAGCTATAAAACTCTTGTTTTCCTCAACCCAATGCTAACCTTTCAAGTGTCATTTAGTTCTGAAGCTGCAGGTCTTGGCAGAATATCTTGGGAACTGGAGCATCCTGGGCATTCAGGGTGTCAGGACTTGGATATTAATGTTTCTAGGGAGCAGAGGAGCCTGGAGGTTAGCACTGGCTTTGGTATGCACCACAGGTGTATGTCAATAGGAAGCCATAGTCCTCATCTGCCAAAGAGAGGGGAAAGAGAAGTGGGTGTTACTTGTACATACAACGCTCATTTCGCAGGGTCCTAAGGAATTCTGAATGTATCCACCAGCAATCCCGATTTTCCTGCATCGTCCAGCCCCAGTGTAAATGGAGACTGCTCAATCCATTTCCCAGCAGCTCAGATCCATAATCACATAGAAACTGTATCAATTACAACACTGTTTAGCTAAGGCTTCTTATTCACTAACACCGAATCTTAAATTAACCCATTTCTATTCATCTATGTATCCCCCACAAGGCTGTGGCCTGCTGGTAAGGTTCTGGGGCATCTGTCTTCTTTGCCAGCTACATGGCATCTTCTTGACTCTGCATACTCTCTCTGTATATCTCTTCCAGCCTGGCTATATTCTGCCTTGCCAGAGGCCAAAGCACCTTTATTTATTCATTATTTATTCATAAAAGCAACATGTATACTGATGAACATCCGACTTCACCCCCCCATTGAATTCAAATTGTCATTTTGGATAAAGTCAGTTGGACTGTCCTTTTAGAGTGCACGGGGTTTACTTTGAACCTAACAACTTAGTATCTACTTTTGTTATTATATTCTCTGCTCGCTCTTTCCCGTTTGTGTGTATGTGTGTGTTTGTGTGTGTGTGTGTGTATGTGTGTGTTTGTGTGTGTCTGTGTGAACATGTAGATTTTGGAGTCCAGCAGACAACTTTTGAAAATTGATTCTTCCTTCTGTCATGTGGGTCATTCAGGGTCAAACTCAAGTACTTTTACCTACTGAGCCATCTCTCTGGACCTTGGCACATGCTTTTGATGGTTACTTAGCAACTAGGCAAAAATTTTAAAATATTATCATTGCCATCATCATAACCAATTACTACTGTTTACTAAGTATTGCAATAATCTTACACAGTCACTTATATGAATCAAACTATTTTTATGAAATGAATCACAGATCTTACAAATATACATTTTTGTTTTTCTCTTAATGGTTTTGCAACAGAGTCTACGTATGCACCCTAGCCTGTCTTCAGACTGGAAATCCTTTGGCTTCAGCTGCCTCATTGCTGGCTGTGCCCATGCGCCACCACGCTAGGATCTCTAAATGGTTCCCAATGCACCAATTGTGAGCTGGTATCTCTGGCAAGCTCTGGAGTGGCATGAATGGCGTTGATCAGTGAAATGCATTTGGAGGGTTAGAGGTGCTAGTGTGCGCTCCAATTTCCATGAAGACACTAAAATGGGCATAGTGACATCATCGGTTTAATGAGGAGTTCTGGGTGAAAAGAGAGAGTCGGTAATGCAACTCAAAGTGGAGCTATAGTGGTATTGAAATTGATGGGCAGTGAATCCAATGCACCCACAAATAATTCTACCTGCTCCTCGCTAAACAGTGGTACTGGTGTCTAGAATTCTACAGAATGTGTCCTTTTAATAACCTATTTTGGGTGATACTTGGGCCAATATTTGAAAACAGATAAGTGAAGAGTTTATACTTTATGAAGAAAAATGCTCAGCATTCACATTTGCCAATTGTTTAATATGGTCAGCCATTGTTTACTATACTGTGAAGATTATTTCATTAATTCCCAGCGAGAATTTTGTGGGCTAACTTCATTTAGGGCTGAGCCAAATGTTTGTCACAAAGGAGCATTATATGACATATCTGAACATTATATGCATATCTTATGCACCCCGATATCTCATGCATTTACAGTAATTACTTTAAGTGTAACCTTCAGATGAGTAGAACTGATCTGCTTGTACCCACTGTACTAATTTCTTGATGCTTTAAGGGAAGTCTTAGCTCCCTTTCTACGACTCCTTCTCAAGTCATCATTGCTAAACAATCAAACTAAACTGAATCAAAATCTTAGAAAATCTAAAGGAAAGCAACTGAATACAAAGTATACTGGAGTATATAACAGTTGTTCTTCATTTTGAAGCACATATACTTTTATTTTCATAACTTTTGATTTCTTGATTATTTTATATAGTCTGTCTAGTTTTCTTTTATGAATCTGACTGACTGCTAATTTTACAAAACAAAGATCTAAAAAAAACCCGCAAGATCAAATGAGCATGCTTTTTGCTCATTCATAAAGAATATTTTTAAACATGCAAGATGAAACCAAAACCAAACAAAGAACAAAATGCTTTGGCATGTCTCTTGTTAATACGCTCTTGTCAGTCAAGAGAATCCTGAAGACATAAGTCAACAGTTGAAGACAGAGCTTCAGGTGTAATTATTACTTATATATGTTCAGTATTGGCAAGTTCTCACCCTCTAGAGCAGTGGTTCTCAACCTTCCTAAAGTGCAAGCCTTTGATACAGTTCCTCATTGTGCTACTTTATAATTCTAATTGTGCTACTCTTATGCACTTAAATGTAAATATCTGTGTATTCCAATGTTCTTAGATGAACCCTCTGAAAGGGTTGTTCAACCCCAACCCCTATGGTTGAGACCCATAGGTTGAGAGATACTGCTCCAAAGCAATATGTATATTAATATTAACATATAATATTAATGTTTAGGTTGTATAATAGATATTAAGATTTTGGATTTTTGTCTCCTGGAAAGTGGGAAGGGATGAAAAATAATGAGGATACAAGGCAGGTGTAGAGTTCTAGTTCTGGTGATACTTTCCACCTTCTACAAGCCATTAACTGTCGACAGAGCCTGAGAGTTGTGGAGGCTCGTGAGTCTCTTCTATTGCCATGCCAGAATATTTACTGTCTTTATCTTGTTCAGTTTTTCTTTGTTCCAGAAAACTACAGTCTCTATAACAATTTCACCTTCAAAAATATGCCAATGTAAGGCTGGAGAGATGGCTGAGCGGTTAAGAGCATTGCCTGCTCTTCCAAAGGTCCTGAGTTCAATTCCCAGCAACCACATGGTGGCTCACAACCATCTGTAATGAGGTCTGGTGCCCTCTTCTGGCCTCCAGGCATACACGCAGACAGAATATTTATATACATAATAAATTTAAAAGAATGCCAATGTTCTTCTCTTTTTAACAATATGTCACCACCACATATTTAGCATCTCCTTCTTATTGCTGACTACTTATGGGTCCAACCCCCAGAAGTCAACATCAGTGTACGTGAGAAAGCCCATGAATGTAGCGGGGGCTAGACTTTTCTATCTGAGGAATAAACAAAGAAGCACATGCTTTCTACTGGTAACCTAAGAAAAAAGAACAAGCACACACCTTCCTGATGGAAACCTTCTTCTTTACTTTAACTTAAATAGTCCTTCTTTACATGGAACCATTTCTCTTCTGCCCAGTTACATATTTCAATATTCAATTACATCTCTTTTCTCATGACTGCACATCTTTCTTTTACATACATTCCTCCTCTACAGCCCCTTTCTATATTTCTTCATTCTCCTTGCCTCCACACAGTTACAAATCTCCACACAGCCACAACTATACGTCTTATTTGCATATCCTTTCATCATATAGGACTTTACACAATTCCTAGGCACAGCTCTTCTATGTAGCAGCAACTTTCACACAGCTCCCTTGCCCACACTTATTCATACATATGTACCAATCATTCTTTACTCCCTCACTCTCACTCTTTCATTCTCTCCTACATCACTCGTGCTTTTTCTTCTACATCTCTCATGCTTCTTCTTCTTCATCATCATCTCTCATGCTTCTGTCTCCCACAACAGACTCCTCTCAACACTGCTGCTCCTCTCTGCTGCTTCTCCCTTGTCATAGCCAAACTTTGGACAATTACAGGTTGTTTGATGGCGCCCTACCCAAACTCTCCACATAAGTTAAGTGACTTAGTGTCTCTCAGGCTAGAAATGTCACAATGACACATGAATGTAGCTCTAAGTTGGTAAGGGTTCCCAGAGAGAACATGACATTGGAAATCAAGACTTACCAACAACAATTAGTTAGCTGGACCTTGAGCAGTAAGGAGTACGTGCAGACTCAAGTTATTTCAAACCTTGGCTTTGAGTCAGTAAATTACACATGGGGAAATGACCTTGTGTGTGTGTCTCTAGGGACAACCAGACTGCTTTGAATTTGCTGAGGTCTTGGCTAAATGTATAATAGGCTGTCTTTGTAGCTGGAAAAAAATCCTAGTTTTATTTCTGTTCACGAATATTATATAACGTAAGCAGAATCACCCTCTACATGTGTGCCCAATAGATGAACTATATACATGAGAAAAACATCCAAGTAGTGGGAATGCACCTAAAGCTGTTATTAGGGAAGAAATGAAGTTCTTATGGGACAAATGAAGTGACTCATGAGAGAAAGTAAAGACAGGAGCAACTGGTTTCCCCAGTCAGTGATCCCAGGGCTCTTCCAGGCAGGGCTGCCCACTGGGGAATCAAGCATCTAATGGCCTGACCTGCTGCACAGTAACTGCCACCTGCTGTATATTCCAATAGCAGCTCTCTACCCCTTCTTTCTATGGGAGTAGGAGCTTCTATACCTGTCCTATTGTTCAGATTTTCTTCCGGGCTATCCACACCCTTCCATGTTCTCTAACACCTCTTTGGTTGATATGATTGATATGATGTTATCCAAGCCTGTCCATACCTTCTTACTGATATCATTTTACTGACCTTCCCTGTCACCTGGGTATCCTGTCCCTTTAAGAGACAAGCCCTCCCCGATACCCCCACCCCCAGGCAAGCTGATCTAGAGTCTTCTCCTCTCCTATGCTCTCTCTGTCTCTCTTTCTCCCTCTTTTGAAGAGGTAACAACCACCTCCTTCATTTCAGTTCTCCCCCCCCCGTCTCTCTCTCTCTCTCTCACACACACACATACACACATACACACTTTTTATCCCTTAGTGCCATACTCCCCCTAAACTAATAAATTAAACTCTATACCCAAGTTCTCTTTGCATGGCATATCTGTCTCCCACCCAAAGCGGTCTCCCACCACGTTTTTGCTGCATGAATCTTTCACTTATACTCTGAGCTGTACCATATGACTTTGATATAGCACACTCATAAGTGTTCTTGCTCGATATGATGCTGATGATATGATGCAGGGCAATAGCACACGCACAAGCAAGCACATGCACTCACAATGAGTAAGCAAAATTAGCCAGGACAACCTGTCAGCAGACCAAAAGCACCATAACTAATGACATGCGCACCTAGCCAATCACAACACACCAGCAACGACTGCCAGTTTCATAAGGACCAATCGGAACCGTTCCTGCAGCAGCTTAATTTTCATAACCCCATAAAACTTCCCAACCTTTTTACAGCAAAGCGTTTCTGCATTGGAATATCTCAGAGACTTTGTCCTTGACTTTGAGTCTTCTCACTCCCTTCCCTTCCTCCCCCTTCCTCCCCCTTCCCACCACTGCCACCCCACTGGGGAAATGGGGACAGCACATAAGCAGGAGCAACATGCCAACAAATTTACACAGACTAATAAATACTCAACTGCAGAAGGAAAAATGAACATAACCTTTACCTAAAGAATTGAACTCTTCTTATTTTATATTTATCTAGGTTATTCATTCTAAAATCATTCATAATAAAAACAAGAGTTTGTCAAAACTCTTACGTGAAATCATTTCTATGTTCAAACATTGTTTATCTTCATAAAACTCAAAAGCAAAGGAAAAATGATCACGGTCAATTACTTTGAAATGAGCTCTGTATGAATCCTCTGCAGATCTTTATGGAAAGAGTAGTTTATTTGTAAACCTATCTGTCATTTCCAGTGTGTATGCCTTTGCTAAATGAATAACAAAATCCTGTCCTATTATCTTTGTGTTTATGAAGAAGGTGCTATACATCATCTTGACTGGCCTTTTAGTGGCCAGAGCTCCTGCTGATCTCAAGTGCACGTATCCATGCTAACAGCAGAGTGTAACTGGCCCTGCTTTACCTCACAGGCGGACTAATAGGTCTTCAGACTTCATTTAGCACCACATTTTCAGACCATCATAACTTTTGAACTCTCTTCCCTGCTGACAGTTTAATGTTTATAGGAGCAAGGAACTTACTTTCAACTTCTAAACTGTAGGACCTGTCTCGTAGAGTTATAAACCTGACATTTCAGCATGGATTTGTGTGTGTGTGTGTGTGTGTGTGTGTGTGTGTGTGTGTGTATGTGATGTATCTTTCAAACATGCACAGGGTATGATGTCTAAAACAGCTGCCCTTGTTTATGTTAAAGGCCTTTCAAAATATTTTTTTGCACACATGTGAATCCCATTTGTGCAGATTGGAAAATAAACCAATGACTTTTTCTTTCTTTACATCCCTATTATTCTTTTTTTTTCCTTTTCTGCTTTTTTTCCTATCATTCTGGTTTCCTGCTTTTCCCTTTCCCTTCCTGGTTTCTTACTCACCTGAAGGACTTCAGCCTAACTTTAGTTGGTGTTCGGACAGTAGTTTTAACCTGCATCTGCTTTTAGTCCCATGAGCTTTCATACACATATATCAGAAGTGGAATGTCATATATTTCATGCTTAGCCAACTGGAGGTCAAAGAACTAAATCACAGCACTCATGAAAGTAAAATGTTGTGCTTTCCAATTGCCATCACGTTGGGAGCTACTCACCTCCAATTACTAAAGTGACCTTAAGGTCTGAACTGACCACTTTCTAGTGAAATTTATGGCGATTGTCATACTATAATGCAGAATAAGAAATGGCATGGGTAAAATATCTGAAGACAGCAAAAAGATTTATTCTATCATCAAACAATTTTATATTCAGTTTTCTACTTTGTTCACTTCTTTTTACCATTTTTTTAATCTTGGCTCTGTCAAAAAGCCATTGATAAAACTATACCATTGATTAAATGTGTAGACATTTAGGAGTTCTTAATATAGGGTAACATGTCTAGGGACTTAAGTGTATCTTATGGAAGAGTTTTGCATATGATACATTCATATTTCAAACTTTATTAATATGGGAGAAAAAGAATGCATATAAATTCTCAGAGTGAATTACCAGTGTTCTACAATGCTTGTAATGAGCATGTCCTTGAAAACCTTTGGGAAGATGGAAATTAATAATCAAGTCTGCTATTGGATAGCATTTAAGTGCTTTCTGTATAGCTTACAGCTTCCATTTCCAAACAACTAAAATTTCATAAAATAAACTCATATTCCAGAAAAATCAACCAGCTTTTTAGTTACATAAGAAAGGGAAAAGGTTAAGATTGAACTGTCATTCAAATATGTCAACTGCTGTGAACTTAAGTCTCAGTAAGAGCTTAAAAATCAGCAACTCTTGTCTACCTTTCTTTTTATTTTTTTTTAACTTGGGGAGTGCTAAAATGAAACCCACAAATGTAACAGCCAAGGACTAAGGACAAATGCCACTATAGATGTCCCACTTGAGACTGAGCATGACCATGGTTCTCTGTGCCTTAGCTAATTGTGGGTCTGTATGTTGAAATATTAGATATGACTGAAATTCTTAGCTTTAGGTGATAGCAAAATGCCCCAGAGATTTGTATAACATCTTTTCTATCAGACACTAGAGCAGATACTTTTAATGAAAAAAAATTCAATTTGCCAGTTGGATTTTCACTTGTTTCAGTTTAACAAAAGCCTCTAAATTTCAGTTTATTGTCTGT